TATAATTTGATTTTGTTAACATATCTTCGTATGTAAAGAAATTGTGAAATAATTATAAATTTTATTTCAGCGGTGATACAGCCACTTGTTTATACAACGCACCTCACGAGGACGAAGCTCTTCCTAGAGTTTTACCTGGGAAACTTCTCTCCTTGGATGCACAATGTCGAAAAGATCGTGGAACGAGTGCATGTTTCGTAAGTTTTATATCAAATTATCAATCTACAATTATTTCAATAATAGAGAATACTGTAACGAAATGTTCCAATTTAACATTTTAGAAAGATGACAGAGTTTGCGCTCAGCTATTCTGCTTCGACGCTGGTTCAGGATATTGCGTGGCTTATCGTCCAGCGGCCGAAGGCTCTCCTTGTGGGGACGGTCAGGTAAAACGATAATTTGAAATGATTAAAATTGTGAATTATATGAAAATATATGAATCGAATTTAAAAGTATTCCCCTTTTATTAATTATAATTTTAATGATAAATTTAAACAATTTCAGTACTGTCTAAACGGGAAGTGCGTGGCCGAGCATGAAAACATTATACCAGATTACACGCAAAACATTCCAACTTATGTGCGCAGAGACGGCACATTCAATCCTACAGCCCACAATCGACCTCTCTATGCTCAATACAACAATACAGAGTATAGGTAATATTTCGAAAAGCGTAAAATTTTATATACATCCTTTTCAGTTATACATTTAGATATATTACATTTAACTATTCATTCACTCGTGTTTATTACAGTTGATATTTAACTGTGTAATCATCAATTGAATTAAGATCATCGGATTTATGCACTCTCTCTACATTAAATTCACCCCATTAAAAATATTTATCTTAATCTATTAAACATTATTTGTTCCTTGGAACTTGATGTAATTGTTATGTATCTTCTTTATTGTTGACGAAATACTTATCGTTATAGTAAATGCATATTTGCATTGCAAAGATTATAAAACTTGTCGACTTCGTTAAACAATTCCACCTGTTCGGTAAACATGTGATCAAATAATAAATATCGTTTGAACGTTCAAGAGTACATAATCCGAACAGGTCATCCCTTTCGTTGTCCCATGGATAATTCCATAATGATATGTCACACAGGTATCCGTGGGAATTGACGACACACAGCACGCCACAAACGAAATTCAAATACTCCTCGCCTTCGTCGAATCTCTTCTCGTCGACAAGCAATTCTTACAAACGCGTCACGTTCGCGACAACCCCGGTGACCAAATACACCTACACCACAGCAAGTTATTTATACGCTAATAAATACAAGACTAAAGTAAATAACAGTAACGATGCTAGTTATAGTAAAAACGGATATGGTGGTGGTACTACCACTACTACCAGGAAGTATATGAATCACTCATACTATACTGTTAATCCAATATCAAAAGTCACGAATGACCTGAATTATCCGAAAATTAGCCCGTTCAAACATAAGGGCACAACGGTGTCGTTCGCAACATCGGGCAAAAAGGATCAGAACGGTCTTCAGAGCGATGCTCGCGGTAAGATAAATATCAAAAGACGATACTCGTTTTCTTCTCGGAATTATAAGAATCTTTTCCTTAATTCTTTTTTATCATTGTTATCTGTCTGAGATAACAAGACTTATTCTTGTCTATACTTATTCTTTCTTTTTAATTTCTTTGCTTCATTTTTTTCTCTTTTTTTTTTTTTCTTTTTTCTTTTTTATCCTACAGTGAGACAAAATATTTTTCTCGATGGACGTTTGTGTATCGTTCATCCGCTTTCCTCTGCTACCTTTATTCAATATTTTTCCTTGTCAATCAATAATGAACAGCGTAGCCATTAAAACGCTAAGAAATAATTAAAATGATGACAAACTGACATGTCGCATTTTTCATCATCAAAATCTTTACCCGAGTCTGACTGGTTCAATTCACTTGTGAGACAGTGAATATTTTTTGTTTCTCTACGCCTACGTCGAGATTCGTTTTCTTTCTTCAATATTTCTGTGTGTATATATATATATATAGTCTATTTCATTGAGTAACTTGTCTACAATCGTCGTTTAAACATATTTTAAATTTCCAATGACATTTTCTATTTAGTGGAATAATCGGTCTTTGTTTCTGGATGGATATATATATGTATAATACGTGAACAATTGTTCCTCCTTTATTTTATAATCTTTATTTTATTTTCCTGAATTTTATTTTACCTTTTCTTTTTTTTTTTTTTTTTTGGCTTGTATATATCATGAATTAACAAAAATATTAATTGTGTTTTTATAAAAAAGTTTAAAAAGTACTTTAAACTTGATACTTTTTATCTTACTTTTACTAACGATGTATATAAATGCTATAAATGTATATAAATCCTCATATAAAAACTCATTTTTAAATTTTTAAAATAAAAATGAGTATAATTCTTAACTTCTTGAAACCATTTACATTTTAATTCTATATTTATCATTTACATTTACAAACTCAAAAACTTCTTTTTCTTATATTTTTAGTAAAATGCCTAAAAATATAAATAGTGAAAATTCGTCACTTTTTCAAAAATTTTTTCATCTTTTCCAGAAGTAGAAGGCGATGAGTGCATGGACATAGGATCAGATTGCGCGGAGCTGATTGACAGGCTGAGAACATGGCTGTGCCATTTGCAATCTGTGAAAAGTCGCTGCTGCGCATCCCTAAGAACGATCTGCGCCGCTTGATGAGTAGTTGAAAACAATATTTCCGGTTCGTTCAAGAGTCACGTGGCTACGCATCCACAGACTACCACAAATCCGACATCGAACACTCAGCGCGCATTCAGCATGCGTACAGCTCATCGAGCAGATCATATTCATCGAGAGATCGGGATTTAGGCGAATCGTGTGATCTACGATGTCATTGGGTCACAATGATTTTGAAAGACAGACATCTCACAAAGTTCTCAAAGTTCTCGCGGTCGCAACCGCACAAAGAATGAATGTGCAGTTTATTAAGTAGTTACATAATCTCACTGTGTTATCCAGAATATAACTTCATTCTTTCTTCTTTCTTCTCTTTTCTCTTTCTTTCTTTCTTTCTTTTTCTCTTTTTTTACGATAGTGCCGCAGGAGCTTTGTACAGACAACGGGTGTGAAAACATAAATGTGTCGAGTACGAACAAAAATGTTCGATCGATACATTCGGTAGATTCGACCGCATATTTATTCGATGCATGTGAATCGCGCGGGAGACTTTTGTGTTATTATAGAATGTGTGCGCGCATACGCGTATGCGTGTTGGTACAGACGCGCAAGCGCACGTGAGAAAACGAGCTTCCTCTAAAAACATGAGAATTATAGCGCAAAAAATAAATGATTATACAATGAAATTGTGTATCCTTTTTTCTTGTATTTTTTTTTATTAAACATTGACGATTTCATACAAATTTGTTAAGAAAAAAAAACATTTTATTATTAAAGTTATATAGAATTCTTAAATAGTTTTTTTTTTATTTAGGCTTAGTTTTTAATCATTCAATATCAAATCATTTTCTTGAATTTATAAATTTTAAAGAACAAGTATATAATAGTAAAGGAACAAAGAGGATAAAAATGTTGAAATTAACGCCATCTCTAAAGTGCCGTATATGAAACAAATATAGATAAAAAGAGCAAATTGTAAGACAAGGATAAAGATAAAATAAGAATTGATTATTGATGCCATCTCTTGAGTGCCAAACATATTTTTTTAGAAACAAGATAAGGTAGAATAAGAATTGATTATTAACGCCATCTTTTGGGTATATTATTTTACTTTTGGAAAAATATCTCAAGAGATGGCGTTGCTGGTTAATTCTTTTTAGTTCTATCTTTCTCTAACTATTTTCTACTCTTTTTTTATGAGTTTCATTTCTTGCACTCTGAAGATGGCGTTGATTTCCGAATTTTTACTTTATCTCTATCTTCTTCTATTGTTTGCTTTTCTTATCTATATTTATTCTTGGCGCGTGATCACAAATGAAGTTCGGAATGAACACTTTTCGTTACTTCTTTTTTAAAATTACAATATATATCATAATAAATCTTTACAATATGTGACAGAATATTTGTTTTATTCTTATTTATAATTTTAGATGGAAATTGAATTTCAATTTCAATTATTACTAATGTTGCAATCTTAATCTGAATTGAATGATAAAATTCTAAAATGATAAAGGCGTCTAATATCACATGTTTGTTTAATAATTCCGAGAGAGTATTAAAAAAAATGCATTGAATGTTAGGTCTATTCTGTACCTCATCTGTATTTTACCTCTTAACAATCCTGGATTGATCTATTATCTCTTAACAACCTATTCTAGTATCTCATAATAGTCTTGGATTGATCTATTATCCCTTAATAACCAATTTTACTCTCTCTTAACAATAGTTGTTCATAAATCAATTTTGTAATATTTCTATCGTACACAAATAATATTTCTATCGTACACAAATAAATATTATTCATTCTATGTAAATATGTTCTTAATTTTAAATTATTAATTAAATTTTGTATTCAAATAAAGTTACATATATTGTATATTGTAATATAAATTTTTCTAAAATAAAAATTATAATAATATTTTATTTTTTTTTATATAATAATTATTTGAAAAACAATATGTGTTGAAAAAATTAGAAACAAAAAATGAAAAATTTTTTATATAAAAATAAGAAAACTAAGAAATATTTAGACAATGATTTATTTATTAAAATTATTTTATTTAATAACAATAATAATTTAAATATAGATAATATTAATTTTATATGTACAAATAAATAATTTTGTTTCATACAAATTTGTTAATAAATGAGTATGTATGAACAAAGTCTTTCAAATGCAATATAAAAATACATTTTAAAATAAAAAATATATGAATTATATAAGAAATATATTATAACATTATTATTATTTAATGAAAAATAGTTTAAAATATAAGTAGATATACACATAATACAAGCATAACTTAAGATATATATCAGAAAAATAATATTAATAACTAATTAATGATTAAGAATAATTTATATATACTAATATAATAAATAATAATAATGATATAATAAAATATCATTGAACAACTTTTGGTTCTATTCCTATTTCTTCATACAACTCATTTTTACTACCAGGGTAATTATCTAATATACAGTCTAATATTTCAGTACATAAACGTTTCCGTTTTACATATTCACGTGAATAATCATTTATTGCTTTTTCTGCTTTTCTTTTAGATTCAGTTAAGTCCTCAGTTCCATTTGCCTCCATTAATGCATCCAATTTATTTTTCAATTCTATAATTCTCTGTTGAGTTAAAGCTTTTTGTTTTTTTGCTTCTTCAATTGTAATAGAAGACTTCATAGATGACAATAAAGCCTCTTGTACTTTAATTTCTCTTTCTAATTCTTGATACTTACTTTCAACTTCATTAGCATGCGCTTGTAATTCTTTATCTATTCTCATTAATTCTTCTACATCAAGAGATGAATCTTGAGTTGGACAATAAAGTTTTTGTTTTCCATATACCTAATGCAAAAATCAATTTTTTAATATAATCAATCTATTTTATATTATATTTTATATTATATAATAAATATTCTACTTTTTCAAATATTTTTCCTTCAGCCACCAATTTATCTACAGCTTTTTGTACAGCTACTTTACCATATTCATTATGAAGATTTGAAACTAAATCATTAATACTATATGGTCTATTTTGTATTTTCATGTATTTATATACAGTTTCTGCCATTGTTGCTATTAATTTTTAAAATTTTTTTTATTTTTTATATACTGTGTTTAATTCTATAATGTGTTATTTCTGTAGGTTATTTTATTTTCTAATTAAAAAATTAATTTCATTAAGTACAATAGTAATTATAATAATTTATTCAATATGTTATTTTTATTGTTAAAATTAATTCGTCGTGTTATAATTACTTACAAACATTGTCATACGTCATTATTTATAACATTGATTGAAAATATTGATCTACAATAAAAAACATTTAGGTTAATAAATCCTTGCAGATTTTATTGTTAGAATCACAAAATTAATTTTTATAACAAAATATAAAAGAATATAATTATAAATTAATTATTTTACTAATATTTTTATTATTACACATTTTTTATTCTATTAATATTATGTATAATCTTATTACAATCAACATGCAACAAGTGTTTTTTTACCAACTTCATAGATCACGTGATTTTAAATGTAATTAAACCTTGAAAGCGAAAAATTTAATAAAATATTATATAAAAGAATATTATATAACAAAAATATTACGAAAATAAATGATATAAAATAATAATAATAATATTTATAAAAATTAAGAAAACCACTTTCAAATTAATTTTTTTTTATCAAAAATCAAGATCTTTATATTTTTTATTAAACATTATTACAACATTATTTCTATAAATAATATTAAAATCAAATGTTATTTAAATGTATACTTATGTATTATTATGATATCTTTTTTTTATTTTAAACAATGTAACATTTATTATTTTTCATACTTTCATATAAAATCGTATACGTTTGTTATCTTCTAAATATTCATATTACGAAACTTAACTTAACTTAATATGCATTCATATTGAGAAAGATAGATAATAAAAGGAAACGAAAAAGAAGGAAAGAACATCGCAATTTCAATCTTCATTTTCTAAGGTACTATAGATTCTAATATACTATTAATTAGTAAATGCTATTAATTATCCTTAATTAAAAATAGTCATTTCATCATAATCATTTTAATCAGAATGATCTTGTGAATTTATTAACAACATTAATATTATAATAGAACAAAAAATTAAATTTTTTTGTCAAAATAATAATTCATCGATTCTTATCTTATCAGATCATGTCCTGACGGCTTCAAAGGTTCATTTGCTTAAGATGAAAATCTGGTGGGGATAACGAAATTACATTATGTGATGCATTTCAAGTTACATTTTCTAAGACATTACTGTATTAGAAGTAAATTTAAAAATATAAATTAGTATATGGAAGAGTAACTTACTGGAATTTATTGTGTATACTTATATCAAAATATATCGATGTGAATAGAAATTGTTTGTTAAAAATAACAACATGAATTTTCTTCGGAACAGTGCAAATAGTGTCATCAATAAATGCCCTGCCATTAAAATGGGTGAATTAGTTATTAGTTATATGCATTATATCATTTGACATATCATATATTTCAAATTATTATAATTGCAATATACGATCATTTAAGTGTTAACGCGAAAATATATTCATTCTCAAAATTTAATAACCAATAATTTTATTAATAATATGTTATTTTTTATATTGTTGTTAATAAAATTGTCGGATATAGAAAATTCAATTTTATACACCAATCAATAAAAATGTTTTTAATAAAATGAAAAATTAATGTAAAAAAATATTTTAAAAAATTATTTTTTCCAGTTTCAATTTAATTTTATATTAGAAACGATTCTGTATAGACAACTACTGAACCGAAGATAGGAGAGAGTTGAAACTCGATACATATCTATACTTTGATCATGCAGTAATACCATATTTGTCACGAAAAGTGTATAGATATATATAATGCATACTTATTAATCAGAAAATATTTATAATCAATAATAAACATGATTTCTCAATAAATGAATGAAAGATAAATATAATTATTTAGTGAGTGAGTGAAATCAAAGAAAAGTTTATTAAAAACAATTCTTTTTCTCTACACAATTCTTCGTGTAATTCTAATGGATCAAAATATAATCATGATTGGTATTGTATTAATAACAAAAATAACAACAAAAATAATAACAATTATATAGTATGTATCAGTTTTTGTAATGATATATTTAAATATTTAAATATTTTTATATTTACTATATGATATTAAAATTTCAATATATTACCGCATATACTGAAATAATGAAATAATAAGAATATATTTTTTTAAAGATTTGACTAGTAACATTGAGATATTTTATTTATTTTAACTAATTGTTTTTTATCATTAAGTGAAATAAATACATTGACGGACGTCAATATAATATTATTTATAATATTATAATTTCAAAAAAAAACCTCATCTCTATAACAACTTTTTCTATTTTTCTAATATTCAGAATTAACTATCTAAAGTTTTATAATGTTTTATGTATAGAATAAATTTTGGTATGCTTTACATTATTTTTATAAATTTTATAAATTTATTTAATTTTTATTGATTTTGCAAAAAAGTAAGTTGATTATTATTTTTAAATTTGATAAATATTACTTTAATATTAACTTCAAAAAATAAAAAATTTTTATAATTATATTAATTAAATCAAAAAAAATTATGAGATTTTAAATGACTTATATTTGTATAAGTATGTGTGATTGGATATTAGTGACCAGAGATGAAAAGGCGAGTCAGTTGCTTGTGAGATCTCATTGAGAGTATAATAAAATTAGTTTCGTTAACTTAGAAAAAAATAATTTGTGTGTAATTTAATAATATTTTAAGTGTTATTAAATGCAATTACTTATATGCAACGAACATTTTCAATTAACATTACTGTTTCTAACCTTGAAATAAATTTTTTTTTTTCTGAAATATGTATGTATAATAGTTTAAGTGAAATTTATAGAATTATTATTATCAAATATAAATTGAAAATCATATAGTTTTTTATTTTGTATAAGTTTTGTAATCATGGAAGAATTGATATCATATTTATATATAATTGTGTATATACTATTTTACTTTTTAGTTTAATTCGTCTTTTATATAGCAATACAAATTATTGTATTAAACGTTTTATCTTATTTTTTTTTTGTTACGATAAGAAAAATATATAATTTTATTTTTTCTTTATAAATTCATTATATTACTTAATATTCTGTAAAACTAAGCCAAATTATCAAATACATGCAATCGTGAATTATTTCTTTCTCTTTCTCTCTCTCTTTAATTCAATCCTTTCTACAATTTTTTTAACTAATAATGTTCATAATTAAATATTATGCATATATATTTTTTTATTAATTGTTTTTATAATTGTATTTAATAATTATTTTTATAATCATATTTTGTAATTATTTGTATAAAATTATGTATATAAAATTTTATAATCAAATAACAATATAATTGAACTTCTTAAAATCAAATTTTTAATTTCATCTATAGTATATATCAAATAACATAATTTCCATGATTCGTAGCATCTGTAATTCATTTAAAAAACTGATGCAACATTTATTTAATTTTCGGAAAATTTTAATAAACATATTTATTATATATTTCGAATATATATGTATATTATACATATATTTATATAATATAAAATGTACATCTGGCAGAATTCTTATTACAAATTAGCTAAACAAATTGCATGATATTCAAACAAAAAATTATTATTCGATTTTAAGATATCATATAATATTGGAATAACAGTGGAATAATTATTATTGAATGTTTTTTCAGAGTGGTTCACTAAAGAATTCTTGTGTACTGGAAGGATGAGATACGTGAGTTTTGGAATTTGTGGATTATTCATTATAATATTTACAGTTAGTTTAAGCTTAGCATTGATCATTGATAACTATAATGGAAGCGATGCTCTCGACAATGTACCACTTATTGATGGGTAAGTAATCTTTGTAATTATTAAAAAAGAAGATATACAGTAATAAAAAATATAATAAATATAAATACTATAAAAATTATGAATATTTATTTAATGTAAATTATTATTATTCCCTTCGAAAGAATATAATTGCAATAATTATTTAGTATAAAGTAAAATATAGTATGATTTTAAATAATTACTTCAATATTGTCATAGAATAACCTTTTCTTTTTAAATTTATTTTATCATTTTATAAAATTTGTTTGTTGTAATATTATTTTTATTTTTAATTCGAAATATATTTATTTTGATACTAATCATAAAAATTAATTAAAAAAATTAATTAACAAAAATATATAAATTATGTTAAAAATGAAATTTCAAAATATTTTTCTACAATTTCAGTATTTACAGACTTTGACGAAGATTTTATTGTACAAGAATTTTTCTGTGTTGAGATATTGATTGAAAAGAATATAACGGGATCTCAGTGGAATAAGATGGAAATTCATGAATAATCATGTACGATATTCGTTAGTCAAATTCGATAATTTATATAAATTAATCATAAACTATGCAATTAACGTAAAAAAAAAAAAAACATATTGCGAATTTTTTTTGAATAACTTATAATTAGGAATGACAATCAATTTTTTCATTAATCCAAAAATTTATAGTATTTTGTAATTATTCATCTTCCATTTTTTTTTCTTTCTTTATAAATTTCGATTGAATAATGTAAAATGATGAAAAATTTATATTTTTTTTACACAAATATATCTAATTTATATTAGTTACAAATATTAATTTAGATTAAAAAATAGATAATAAAAATAAGATAAATTAAAAATTTTGTTTCTGATTATAATTTTTCATTATTTATATAATTGTATGAAATGTATATGTATAAAATAGATAGTAATTTTATTTTTTTCATTTCAGTCACAATGATTTACCTCACAACTTATATAAATTGCTAGGCAATAATTTAGATCAATTTGATTTTACCAAAAATTTATCCGACGACAAATTATGGGGTAAACACGTATGTAACTCATGTACCACAGACTTGCCCCGACTAAGAAAAGGAAAAGTGGGTGGACAAGTGAGTGAGAAAACAATAAATGAAAAAGATAGATTATCATTAGAATTTCCATTTCTTCATATGCGTTGTAAAATAAATTAATTAATTTGT